AAATATGTTTTGTTTCCCAAGGTCAACAAATCCAAACTCACCAGATAGAGACTCTTATGCAACCCATTAGCAACATTGATGTTCTGCGTCATAGCTGTTCCTATTACATCATGTTAGCCATAACCTGTGCAGTTCTAGAGTCTCAAGCGCTGATTTTAATACTTTATATAAAATGTTGTCTCTCCACTATCATAAGTGTATGGCTCAGTACAAGAAATATTTATGAGGTATTAATATCTCTAACACTGCAGCATGTCTTGTATAGCTTGAATTGGTGCTAAACTACTGGTAACAAATTGAAGAAGTAGTTTTGGGGACAAGGTATCTATTTTAAAAGAAGAGAGTTGATTTGAGAATATCGGCTGTTGGTCCTTTATGGATATTTTATAGGTGTGAAGTGTTTTCTTTGTGCTAATTTTTACCACAGTTGTTATTGTTCCCACAATCTCATCTTTCCCTTTTCCATAGGTTTGGGAGGAGGTTACTTCTGACATGGTGTCTTCTCCAGCTGGCCATTGCTGACACCTGTGCTGCCTTTGTTCCCACTTTCCTGGTTTACTGCTCACTACGTCTCCTGGCTGGCATGTCCACCACGACCATCCTGACAAATACTATTCTTCTCAGTAAGTCAACACTGACTCTCGGACATTTACTGATATTTGACTTTGACCTTAATATTCTATCTTTGCTTGAAGTAATTATWCAGTGATGTTTTCTTTCAGTTGTAGAATGGACAAGTCCCAAATATCAAGCTATGGGAACAACAATGGCAGTCTGTGCTGCTAGTTTTGGGMAKATCMTAYTGGGRAGCCTGGCTTTTGCKATTCGAAACTGGCATACTCTCCAGCTGGTTGTGTCTATACCGGCATTCTTCTTATTTATTTCCTCAAGGTATGAGCTCCCTTTTGTCTTTCTCTTCTAAAACCATGGRGTGGAGAATGCACATGGCATCAGGACATAAAAATTTATTTCTTCTTGATTCTACACATGAGGATGTGCTCTCAGAACAGGTATCTTTGTACAATTTGAGAAGCAGGGCAAGTAGGATGGTCAGAAGAAATTGAGGACATGTAATAATCTTTCAATTTATGATAACCTAGTAAATATTTTTGTTTATTTTTTTAAAGAGATACAACATCTTTGTTTGTATGTGGTTCTGTGGATCGAACCCAGGCCGCACACATGCCAGGCAAGCATGCTACCACTTGAGCCATATCCCCAGCCCCTTAGTAAATATTTTTGAAAAATTTTATCCCAAGCTTTGCAAGTTATATACTGAAAGTTATTCGCTGTTTGTATGAAATTCTCTTTAACTGTTATATACTGTATTTACTAAGGAGGTAAAATACAAGATATCCCATTATATTCAAATCATAAACAACAAATAATGTTTTAGGCATGGGATTCACTTTTTAGAATATAATACACTATTTGGAATTCAAATGAACTATGCTTATTCTAGTTATATTTATTAAAACAAGAACCATGAAAACAAAATATCAATGAATCTATACATGAAGTTCTGGGTAAGCCTTATTTTGTAATGTGTAGAAAAATTATTGCAAACATATTGGGCTTTACATATTGGTAAATTAGTAGAATCCAGAGTGTCAGAGCAGGTCATAAAGATTTTTCAGTAGCAAACTGAGATAGATGAAGGAGGAGAAAGAGCAGGGAGGCAACTCAGTGACTAACAACCAGGAGTAAACAAAAATGAGTAGTTTTCAGGACAGAAAGAGAATTAATAACGGCAGTGGAAGAGTCAGGAATGCAATCCCTCAGTGGCAGAAGGGAAGCATTTCTCAAGAAGCCAAAAGTCTTTCTACCACCTAGCTCAAGAAAAACAGACACTGACCAATATATCCACAATCAGAACAGATAATAAATTCAGGAAAGCTGAGCTGTGTTTATTCAGGAGAATATTCTAGTTGTGTCTTCCTGGAGAGTAAACCACCACTCCTCAAAAAGGTCTTGGAGCCTTCCAGCAGAGGTGTTTGGATTAGGGAAGCCCTGCCATATTACATCCATTTTGATGTAATTATGCTAGCATGGAATATATCTCATTCTATTTAGGATCCCATTCTAGTGTATATACATGATGGTGGGATTCATTGTGATGTTTTCATATATGTACATGAAGRAACTTGTTAATTATCCTTCCCGATTCCCCAACTGGGAATTCCTGAATGTTATCCTTGTTTTTTAGATAGCATTTTCTGTTTTATTTGTTTTCTTTCTCCCTCTTTTTTCTTCCTTTTTTTGTCCTTTACTTGGTACACATGTATTTTGAATATCTGTGAGTGTCCATACTGAGAGCTGATTTGAGCATAAAAGAGAGAATGAGATTCAGTGCTGGGTTAAACTCAGAGTGACCAATCAGTCTGCAGAGTGGAGAAGAAAGAAGAGGACTTCCCTTTGAAATTGACAGTATAATCTCTGAATGAAAAGTTTGACTGATGGGAGGGGACTGCAATAGATTATGATGAAACATAAAATCCCATATCTTCAAGCCTACGAGAGGCTGGATGATAGAGTGACGTTTCTACACATCTTTTCCTAGCACATGTTCAGTATCTCTTGGAAAGAGGGATGTAATTTAATTCAGATCAGTCTATAGACAAAGCAAGTGGAGGAGCTGGTCAGGAGCCCTGGCAGACCTACATTCCCACCTGCAGACACAAGAACAAAACCATTTGGAGAGTGAAAACTGTCTCACCCCTCTGCTACCCCTCAGCAAGGGGGCTAAGCAAGAAGCTAGCTCAATTCAGCATAMAGAGTAACCTAACAAGTTTGGCAGGTTTGGCTCAGTCCTGAAAACTACAAAGGGTGTAAAATCCATATAATAGAGACTTTATTTTTTAAAGCTTTATTGGCTCTTTTTTGTTATATATGACAGTAGAATCCATTTTTATGTAATTATGCTAGCATGGAATATATCTCATTCTACTTAGGATCCCATTTTAGTGTATATACATGATAGTGGGATTCACTGTGACGTTTTCATATATGTACATGGAAAATTATGTCAGGTCCATCCAATGTCTTTCCTTTTCTCATCTGCCTTGCTTTCCCTCTAATCCCCATTGTGAAATGTACTGAACATCGTCTTCCCCCTTGCTTTTATTTTGGATTGGCTTACCCATATTAGAGAAAGCATTTGATCTTTGGCTTTTGGAAATTGGCTTATTTCACTTATGATTGTTTCCAGATTAATCCATTTACTGACAAATGTCATRAAGTCATTCTTCTTCCTTACATTCGGAAATTTCTAAAATTAAAACACTGAGTTAAAAATACTCATTTCAAAAACTTCAAAAGAAGCAATCCAAACACTTTTATGAAAATTAGTGCTTTACCTTTACACATATACCTATACACAACATAATCTCTCATACACAATTTTTTTCTTCTTGCCAATCTTTACTTGAACCCCATCCTGCACCCATTATACTCTCCCCATTTTAACTCTTGTCTTCCATCCCTTCTCCATACTTTCTTTTTTCTTTTCTCTTTCTTCTTTCTTATCCCATCTTCAAATTCAATTGAGTCTATAATTGTTACCATGTAATATTTAGAGCTTATGCTGTATTACTTGTTGCACACATTCCTACTGGGTTAATAGAGTTATAGAGATTATTTTAATTGCAGATATAATGTGTGTTGATATATGGGTAACCCTTACACTACCACTGTTACTTATGGCATCTTTCCTTTCAAAGAGGCATTGGAAGTTGAAATTAACATTTTGATTTTGCTGACGTGATGTGTTGAAGCTAGGCTATCCCCCCAGCACAGGGCTTATTATAAAGAGATAACTACACTAAAGGACTCCTATTACCAGGGGAACCAATGTCAGGCTGGGGGACAAACCCAGGCTGCAACATGTCCTGCCCCAGAAATATTCAGAATCAAATTGGTAGGAAAATTGGTTTTATTCAAAGCCAGTTTTGAAGGAAGATAGAAAAAACTGACTGTTTCAAAAGTTCATCTTTGAACTCTCTAAAGGTCAGCAAAGATGTTAAAGGATGAGTTGAAATGAGTCAGGAGTCTAAATAGGTGGGCATGACTACAGTTGGGGACTGAATGTAGAAAGGCCATATTCAAGAGTGCAGAGTGTAAAAGAATTGTAGATAATGGGTTACCCAGTCCTATTTACAATTCTTGGGATTCCCCTGAGACTAAGACTCCCAGCAGAAATCGGTATCTATCTGGCTTTAGGTGTGTGTGATCTAATCTCTCCAAAGCAGTTACTATTATAGAGCTTGGGCMTTCCAAGAAACTGGGGCAACATGAAGACCCCCCTTAAAACTGAATTCTTGTGATCAAGTCAGGAAGATTTTAGATATGTCACTCAGAGTAAGCAGAATGACATTATTGAAGGGATAGGAAAGGGGAAACTCTCAAAGGAGAGAGTAGGTCCTCTGACACAGGAGAGGGACAACATGCCTATCTTGCACTCCAGTTTTATTGGATATCTCAGAGAATTTTCCAACAAATATCTGGTCCATCACCTGATGGTTTATGGACAGCACCTGATATCAGACTTGGAAGTTCACACTGACGTGACAATTCTAGGTCACCTTGTCCCATGCTGACCAGTTCTAAGTGGATTCTGTTTTTTTTTTTAAATTATTTGTTCTAATTTGTAATACATGACAGCAGAATGCATTTCAATTTATAGTGCACATATGAAGTACAACTTTTCATTTCTCTGGTTGTACACAAAATAGCCTCACACCATTCATGTTTTCAATTATGCCCATCTCATCACACAATCTTTTCTACCTCCATGCATCACCCTGTCTCTTCTTCCCTTTGCCATATGCAAAGTTTCTTCATTTCTCCCATGCTCTCCCTGGTCCCCACTATGGATAAACATCCACTTATCAGAGAAAACATTCAGCCTTCGGTTTTCTGGAATTGGCTAAATTCACTTAGCATGATATTCTCCAATTCCATTTATTAACATGCAAATGCTATGATTTTATTCTCTTTTAATGCTGAGTAATATTCCATTGTGTATATATATACACAATGTGTATATATATACCAGTATATATATACCAGTATCTTTATCCTTTCATGTATTGAACGGTATCTAGATTGGTTCCACAATTTAGCTACTGTGAATTGTGCTACTATAAACATTGACGTGGGGATGTCACAGTAGTATGCTGTTTTTAAGTCTTTTGAGCACAAAATAAGGAGTGGGATAGCTGGGTAAAATGGTGGTTTCATTCCAAGTTTTCCAAGAAATCTCTAAACTTCTTTCCAGATTGGTTGCACCAATTTTCAGTCTTATCAGCAATGTACAAAAGCGTCTTTTCCCCCACATTCTCACCAACAATTATTGTTGCTTGTATTCTTAATAACTGTTATTCTGACTGAAGTGAGTTAAAATCTTAGAATACTTTTTATTTGCATTTCTTTAATTGCTATATGTGTTGAACATTTTCTTCATATATTTGTTGACTGATTGTATATTATCTCCTGTGAAGCATCTGTTAAGTTCCTTAACCCATTTATTGTTTGGATTATTTGCTTTTTTGAAGTTTTTTGAGTTCTTTATATATCCTGAAGATTAGTGCTCCATCTGATGTGTGGGTGGTAAAAATTTGCTCCCTTTCTGTARGTGCTTTATTCACCTCATTGTTTTTTTTCTTTCTTAGAAAATGCTTTTCAGTTTTAATTCATCCCATTTATTGATTCTTSATTTTACTTCTTGTGCTTTAGGAGCCTTGTTAAGTAAATGAGGGCCTAATCCAAGATGATGAAGATTTGAGCCTACTTTTTCTTTTATTAGGTAGTGTCTCTGGTCTAATTCCTAGGTCCTTGATCCACTTTGAGATAAATTTTGTGCATGGTGAGTGATAGGGGCTCAATTTCATTTT